GGCTCCACAAACCCCCGGGAAAGGGGCAGGAATCACTGACCGGGCTCAGCAGGACCCGGCGCGCTCCGCTTTTGCTCGCTGGGATCCTGGTTTGCTCTGGCACCTTCTGCTTTCCCACCCCTTCAAGCTACGCGCCGCCGGCTGCCGACACGGGGCACGGTGTAAAACCAGATCCCACAGCCTTTACGCCGGCGGCAGGGCTGTCGCCGCCCGAGAGCAGGATTGTGCCCCCAGCGGCGTACGTACACATGGTGCTCCCGCCGTGGCAGGAAGGAAGCCTGAGATAAAAATGAGGTTTCTGCGCCCGCTTTCTGGCGAAGGGGGCACCTGAGCTGCCACAAAAGGGATGCGAACTGTAAGGAAAGGAAACACAAGCCACGCGCGCTCCCAGACACCGCTGCGCCCGCTCCGTTTTCAAATCTCGACAGCTCTCGTGTTCTCCCGAGAAGCATTAAACCACGCGAACCCAGCCCATTAGAAGCAACTTTCAATTTACTGCTCCTCCTTGGTATTCGCTCGGTAAACACCAGCAGGTACCAGCTCCATCAGTAAGCATCGCGAGCACCCAGTCGACCATAAACTATGTTGAGCCCCCTGACTTTGCAGCTTTAGACAGAAGAAAAGGCAAAAAAACCCCCAGATTGGAAACCGATGCTCATCATTACCCATCGTTAAGAAAAATGTGCTGTTGTACCAAGGCAGAAGGAGCAAGGAGCCAACACCAAATGTTTTCCCAAGAATTCATTAATTCTCCCTTCCCGCAGCTGCACGAAGGAGCGCTTTGAGGGTGAGGTCCTCCTCCTCCTCCTCCTCCTCTCCCCGCGGCCCCGATCCCGGCGTTACGGCTCCGCACAGAAGCAACCGTCGCCTTGCACCCGTGTTGGCAAGGCAACCGGCACCGCAGGGCTGCGGGGAACCGGCTCCCGCGCCGCAGAGGGGAGAGGGAAGGGCCGCGGCGGCCAAGCCGCGCTTTACTGCCCCGCTCCCATCCCGCTCTGCGTCTGCGCCTTCTCGGAGAGAGCTGACGCCGGTCCCGGGCCGGGGCCGCCGCGACGCTTACGAGGAGCGAGCCGGTGGCTGTCCAGAGCAGCTACGGGAACGGCTCGCAGCCCTTACTGGAAAGCACCGGGCTTGAAGTGGGGCGTTTGCCAGGACTGGAGCAGTTCCCACCTCAGCCCTTGCGCTTGCGCGTGCGCTGCCTGCCCGCAGACCACCTCATTCCCGACGGGAATGCATCCCGCAGGCAGCAATGGCCCTGAAGCAGAAGTGATATCAGAGTGGACCCGAGAGCAGCTTGCCACCTTTGGGGAAAAAAAACCCCAAATAGGCAAAAACGTCCCAAGAAACTCATCCTTCCCCCAGTTATTTTTGCCCTTGTGGTGCTCAGGTGCGTTCTTTCCAGCCCCAGCCGCAGCGTTTCCCAGCAGCAAGCCCTCAGCCGGCAGTCCCAGGAGGGATGTCAGCAGGAGGGCACGCTTGCTCTGCCGCTCATCCGCCACGATTCCAAGCTCAAAGATTCCAAGCTTCAAAGATGAGAGGAGTTTGGGTGGTGTAAACCCATACCCCCTTCCCAAAAATGCTCCTCCCGCCCGCCCCGCGGCACAAATTACTACCAGTAGCTAAAGCCTCCCGTCCTCCAGCCCGCTAACCCACCCTTCAAATGGGGGGGGCAGATCTGCGGCTAGCGGGAAGCACAGCCAGCGACCTCGGAAGCGGACACCGTACCCCAGCACCAGCCCTCTGGGCCCCCTTGTTTGAACACTGCCTGCGGAGACAGGGAGAGCGCCTCGCGGAAAATCCACCTCCTTAACCGCTTGCAACGGGATGGAAGACGTGCTCCTGCCTGTTGGCTATTCCGAGTTTCTCCTTTGGCCTTACGATAAAAGAGCGCCGGAAATTATAGCCGACCTGCCCCCCCAGCCTGGCAAAGGGAA